GGTAACTGACACACACTGACCATCAGGGGGCAGACACTCAATGCAGGAGCTGCCCCTTGGTGGTCAGTGTGCTCCCACAGGGGGAGCTCTGCTCAACCACAATCCAGGCTGACAGCTGCCAGTACAGCGGTGGTAGTGGGAGCCTCTCCCACCTCTTCAGCAGCGCTGAGAATGTCTGACTGCAGCTAGGCCTGCTCCCTGCTGGAAAGTGGACATCCCCCGAGGGCTCCCGGGCTGCCAGAGGGATGTCTGACTGCCAGCATAGGCCAAATCCCCTGGGGAGCGGACCTAAGCCAGCAGGTGGTCATTCCCCTAGGAGTCCCAGACTGCGAGAGGGCACAGGCTAGGCTGAGGGACCCTCCTGAGTGCACAAATTTGTGCACCAGGCCTCTAGCAAACACAGTAAGGAGAGGAATTCACATAATAATGGAAAACAAATTAGACCTAGTTTCTTAGACACTCATTTATTGGAAAATTTCTGTATATCATTAGTGGAGAACTATAATCACAGAAAATTAACTGAATTGAAGATATATTCATATGATTCTTGTAACGTTCCAGAATATTCAAAAAGTGATCATGTAAAGTATGTCCCTGACATGAGTATGGAATATAATGAATATTTACAGAAATAAGACCTGATTGGATAAAGCTCCTATATCAAAAGTCAATGATGTGTAGGAAAGAAAAATAGGGTGTCTATTTTCCAAAGCAAATAGAAACTAAGTAGTAGGGCATTTCCAGATAACATGTGATGACCTTTGCACAGTCTCAACAAATCCCTACTAAACCCTTCTTACTGAGAAAGAGAGACTATTAACTCTACAGTGAGGGGAGCACCTCTGCCCCAAGACCATCACATGGATTGAGACAATGGGTATCGGGTGACAGAGGCACAGCACAGGACAGGTCATCACTGCTGACATTCCTGGCAAAAATACATAAATAAAGAAATAATTGATCTAAATAGACACCTTTCAAAAGAGGACATTCAGAAAGCCAAGAGACATATGAAAACATGCTCAAAGTCACTAATCATCCGAGAGATGCAAATCAAAACAACAATGAGGTACCATCTCACACCTGTCAGAATGGCTATCATCAACAAATCAACAAACAACAAGTGCTGGAGAGGATGTGGAGAAAAAGGAACACTTGTGCACTGCTGGTGGGAATGCAGACTGGTGCAGCCACTATGGAAGACAGTATGGAGTTTCCTCAAAAAACTAAAAATGGAACTCCCATTTGACCCTGTGATCCCACTTCTAGGAATATATCCCAAGAAACCAGAAACACCAATCAGAAAGGATCTGTGCACCCATATGTTCATAGCAGCACAATTCACCATAGCTAAGATCTGGAAACAGCCTAAGTGCCCATCAGTAGATGAATGGATTAGAAAACTGTGGTACATCTACACGATGGAATATTATGCTGCTGTAAAAAAGAAGGAACTCTTACCATTTGCAACAGCATGGATGGAACTGGAGAGCATTATGCTAAGTGAAACAAGCCAGTCAATGAAGGAAAAATACCACATGAGCTCACTCATTCATGGATAATAAAGACCATTACAAACTTTTGAACAATAATAGATACAGAGGCAGAGCTGCCTCAAACTGATTGTCAAACTGCAGTGGGAAGGCCAGGGAGGGTTGGGGGGCAGGAGGGAGGGGAGTAAGAGATCAACCGAAGGACTTGTATGCATGATTATAAGCATAACTAATGGACATAAGACCCTAGGGGGTAAGGGAGGGCAGGGGATTGTCAAGGGTGCGGGGAAAAAAAAAAGGACACTTATGTAATACCCTTTGTAATACTTTTAGCAAAAAATAAAATAAAAATAAAAAAATAAAGAAATAATTATGTGAAAATGATCACAAATACACATTAATTTTTGCAAGCGTCAATCCACATGTACCTCTAATGTTCTATAAGCTACTGGTACATTTCAATACCAAGTTTTTTGTACTAACCTAGTAAGCAAGTCTCTTCTATACACCCTTCTTTTCAGAACTTTCTGAACTATTCTGAGCAGTAAGATGTGCATCACCTTCTTTTTTTTAAATATGTTTTTTATCTATTTCAAAGAGGAAGTGAGAGGGAGAGATAGAAACATCAATGATGAGAGGATCATTGATCGGCTGCCTCCTTCATGCTTCCTACTGGGGATTGAGACTGCAACCTGACCATGTGCTTTGACCAGAATCAAACCGAGGACCTTACAGTACACAGTCCAAGGCTCAATCCACTGAGCCAAACCAGCTAGGGCATATATGCATCTTCTTACCTGTGATCTAGAGCTGATGCTGCAGCCACTGGAACCTAACACCTACATTTGCCTTCTTCACTGATACCTGAGCCTTTGATCCATCTCAGTAGGGATATAAGACGTGGCTCCTTCCAAGTTTGATCTGTCACAAAAAGGATGTTCTGAGTAGTTGAAAGTCATGAATTAAAGGTGGGAATGCTTCCTGACCTGGGGAGGCTGCATAAAATGAATACAGAGAAGGCTCTGGGACAAAGGAGGGAATTACAGCCCGGCCAGTGTGGCTGAGAGGTAGAAGGCAGACCTATGAACCAGGAGGGCAAGGTTAGATTTCTGGTCAGGGTACACTGCAGGTTTCACACTGGATGGTCAGTGGGGGGTGTGTAGGAGGCAGCTGGTCAATGATTCTCTCTCCTGCTTGATGTTTCTATCTCTGTCTCCCTCTCCTATCCACTGTGAAATCAATAAAGATATATTTTTAAAAAGAGGGAGAAAAAAAGAAGACAAAATTATAAAAAACAACAGAGAGAAATATAGAAACTGTTGACAATGACTATGATGACAAAAGTAATGAAATAAGAAAAGAAAAACAACTTGCAAATGAATGAAAATCAGAAATAGAGAAATAAATCACCAGATGTTAGAGGAAAAGCAAACATAGCCTGTGACACAGGACACCTGAGAAGCAGCCATTTGGTCCTGGTCCTGATGGGGGTCTGGGATGTTTTCTCAGGTGACACTATGTTGAGGAGTCATAGAATGTGCATTTAGAGAAGTCAGCACAGCCTGTTAATCAGCTCACCTCACACTCACAGGCAGAGGACCTGGAAATGAGGAAAAGGTCACCCCCTCCTGTCCTTGGTCAGAGGAGAGAAAATCAGGAACACTGAGCTCCCTCATGGAGACCACACTGTGAATTTTCAAGTGTGTGCCTTCATGTGTCTTTCCTCCCAAAGACTTCCACAAACTTCCACAAAAATGAGAACGTGCCAAAACCGGTTTGGCTCAGTGGATAGAGCGTCGGCCTGCGGACTAAGGGGTCCTGGGTTCGATTCCAGTCAAGGGTACGTACCTGGGTTGCGGGCACATCCCCAGTGGGGGATGTGCAGGAGGCAGCTGATCGATGTTTCTCTCTCATCGATGTTTCTGACTCTATCTCTCTCCCTTCCTCGCTGTAAAAAATCAATAAAATATGTTTAAAAAAAATAAAAAGATTATATACTTTAAAAAAAAAATGAGAATGTGAGCTGCTGTCCTGACCCCCCAAACCAAACAGAGCACCCCCTTACCTCCCCTAAACAAAGCTTGCTCCCCACTCTCACCAAGGCATCCTGCCAATCTCTGGCCTCACCTTCCATCACCTAGAGCACCTCAGTAACCAATGATGCCCCACTCAGAGCAGCTGTCCAACTCTATAGAGAAAAGCGTACCTGAGGGCATTTCTATTTTTAAAAAATATATTTTATTGATTTTTTACAGAGAGAAAGGGAGAGGGATAGAGAGTTAGAAACATTGATGAGAGAAACATCAATCAGCAGCCTCTTGCATACCCCCCATTGGGGATGTGCCCCCAACCAAGATACATGCCCTCAAGGAAAATTGAACCTGGGACCCTTCAGTCTGCAGGCCAAGGCTCTATCCACGGAGCCAAATGGGCTAGGGCTTGAGGGCATTTCTTAAAATGCTCCTGAAGGGATCTTAGAAGACCCAGAGGATTTATCTCAGGATATTTTTTAAATAATAAATTAAGTATTAAAGATAGAAAAAGGAAATCCATGAAAACAGACACACACACACACCCCACAACCAAAAATGTAAGGCTTCTAATATTCCTTAAAAAAGCATCAGATGGTGACAGACACATGTCACTTCCTTGTTGCCATCCCAGGAAATGACAAGGGATTCATGAAAAACAGACAAGTCTCTCCTCTATGAGTGTATAAGGGTTGCAATTGGAAGCAAATAATAATAAAATTCCCAAACCTTATAAACTGGAGATGTATAAGTCTCATTCAATCTGTATAACTAAGACAATTCAGCTGTTAAATTAACTATATAAAGCCATGCTCAGGCGGCATGCTCACTGGTTGAGCTTGGACCTATGAACCAGGAGGTCATGGTGAGATTCCTAGTCAGGGCATGTGGCCAGGGTGCAGGTTTGATCCCCAGTGAGGGGAGTTCCGGAGGCAGTTGATGAATGATTGTCTCTCCTCATTGATGTTTCTCTCTCTCTCGCTCTTTCTCAATAGAAATGTAATATATATATATATATTCCTAACTAGTTTTGCTCAATGGAAAGAGCGTCAGCCTACGGACTGGAGTCCCAGGTTTGATTCCAGTCAAGGGCATGTACCTTGGTTGCAGTCATAGCCCCAGTAGGGGCTTGCAGGAGGCAGCTGATTGATGTTTCTCATCAATGTTTCTAACTCTCTATCCCTCTGTAAAAAATCAGTAAAATATATTTAAACACACACACACACACACACACACACACACACACACACGTGCGCGCACGCATATATAAAGCCACATGTGGATATATCAGAACTTAATCATCCACATCCCAACAGCTCACCTCTCACTGAGATCAGGGGTCCCCTCCTCCCACTACTATGTATTCCTGTCTATGGATCAGTCTCTGTCTCTGTCTCCTGCTCCCTTTCTCTCCACTGTGGTCCTTTCCTGTGTCCCCCTCTCCCCTGCTCTCTCTCCCCTTTTCTCTCTGTCTGTCCTACACCTGGACCATGAAACTCCTGAAACCTCCTTCCCTTCAGGGGCTCTTTCTCCTGGTCTCTGAGGCTCCATCTCCACACACGTCTTCCTCTTCCCCTCCCCACGCCCGCGGCCCCTCTGCTGCCTGTTCCCGTCTGTCCCGCTCCCACAGCTGCTGACTCAGGGCTGCTCCCTCTGCTCCCTCATCCCTGAGCCGCCCTTTCGGTGGACCCCTCACTGCCCTGTCTCCCGCCCACGTGTCTGTCTCTCACTCCCTCTCCTGACCCCCCAGCCTGGGCCTCCGCCCCCCGCAGTCACCGCGCCCACAAAGCCCCTCCCTGCGGGCAGGTCGCCTCTTCAGGGGACACCGCGTTCTTCCCCCTGAGCCCCCCCATGGACACTGTGCTCCCCGGGCAGGCAGACCCCTTATTAAATGGGGGTGGGCCTAGGAGGGGGGTGCAGACCCCCAGGCCGGGAGCCATCCGGGCTCTTTGGGCGGAAGCGCCCGGCGGGGGGGAGGGGCGCAAAGGGCGGGAACCCCCTGACCCAGACTCTCAGCCCCGCGGGGGAGGACCGGCGGCCCCGGGGAACGGGTTTTCAGCGGGGAAAACCGCGCGGCAGGCGGGGGGCCACAGCCACAGGGGGGAGAGACCACGGGCCGGGGCCTCCGTTTCCTCCCAAAGGAACGTGGCGCCCGCACCGCGCAGCCTCCCGGGACGCGGACTCACCGCTGAGAGAGGCTCCGGGGCGGGGACCCCAACAAGGACTTCAGCGCCGGCAGCGCCCTCAGCCTTCCCTGCGGGGAGGGGGACGGGGAGCGTCAGCTTTAAAGACAAACACCCTCCTCAGGGGAACCGCCACCTTCCCCTGCACGGCCGCTTCCGTTTGCAAGAAACTGCGCATGCGCCTCCCTGCGGGGTGGGCGGGGCCAGAGCCTGAGCTGAGCGACTCCGCGATGGGGGCGGGGCCGAGCCCGGCGGCCAGGCCTGTGCAGGGACAGAGGGAGGGAGGGCGGGGCAGGAGCGAGGGGGCAGCCCCGGCCCCCGCACCTCCTCCCACAGGGACAGCCCTTCCTGGGGGAGTTTCCCACGTCATTGTCAGGGTTTTGGCTGGTGACGCGGCTGCGAAAGGATTCACAAGGGAGAGAAGAGACTGGAGCAGAGGGAGGGCGTTTATTTTACTTCTTTAAAGGGAGGAAAGGGCCAGGTGCCCGCTGATGGCACAAGGCACCCCAGATAGAGGGGCTGTTCCTTTATTAGGGTGCTAGCGAGTGAATGGCAGCTGTGGCAAAAGCATAAAGAGGGAGGAGGAACCTGGAATTCACACAGCAGTTTCCCAGCTCCCAGAGGCTGTGCTTAGAGCTATGGCTGGTCTGCCCTTCAGCTGCAGGTGTCCCAGGGAGTGTCTTTCCCAGGATCTTCACAAGCCGGGAGCACATTCTTACAGTGAAGTTACAGGGAATTCAAAAGGCCGGCCCACTGGGTTTGAAACCCCAAACTTTCTGCCTCCAATTCGCCTGGATCCTTAAACCCTCAGTGAGGAGGGGGGTGTGGAAGGGCAGCCTGCCCTCTCACCCCCTCCCTGTCTCCCCAACTGAAGGGAGAGGCAGCTTGAGTTAGGGAAGCACCTGGATGGGGTGTCAGATACAGACCTAGATATCCATTCATGGTTAGGCGCCTGATGAGATAAGTTCCCATCTAACACTGTGGGGGAGATATTTTCATCTGGTATTTTTCAAGGGATAAAAATTTTCTGTTTGTAAGTTGTAGTCTTTGAAGTTTTTGTGTTCTGGGAGTGCATTTTGAAATGAGTATCTTTAATTTAGTAGTCTCTATAATCTAGATAATGGGCCATTTACCATAATGTGCAATGTCTCTAGTTAGTATTCATTATATTTGGGATAGAAAATAATTTAAAAATCAACAATATTTAAAACAGTTATAAGAATAATTATTATCTCTTTACTTAATCTCATAACCATTTTTTAATTTTGATTACTTTCCAGTATTTTCAGGAATATAGATATTCCCTAGAGTATTTTGAAACTGTATTTACTTTAAAGATATGACCGGTTTAGAAACGTGTAATTTAGAGTAAGTCAAACCAGATGATTATGTTTTGTTTTGAATATATTATACTGATTTTTTACAGAGAGGAAGGGAGAGGGATAGAGAGTAAGAAACATCGATGACAGAAACATCATCAGCTGCCTCCTGCACACTCCCTACTGGGTATGTGCCCACAACCAAGGTACATGCCCTTGACCAGAATTGAACCTGGGACTCTTGAGTCCACAGGACGACGTTCCCAAACCGGTTACAGCCAGAGGATTATGTTTAAGGTATATAAGTATTTAATCACTTTACGCCAATAAAATATCAACCCTCAGTATTGCCACCCAAAACACAGTACATATAACAGACAAATACATAAAGGCCAACCCATTCTACAAAGACAGTGAAAGACTTCTACACTGAAATGATACAACAATGCTGAAGGAAGCAGATACAAATAAATTGAGACATAACTTAATATTCTGTGCTCTACAGAATAAATAGATTTCCTATCAAATTTCCAAGGCAATGTTGGCTGTGGACAGCCAAAGAGATATAGGACAGCCAACACACTTCAAATATAAAAAAGTTGAAAGATTCACTTTTTTTTACCCTGAAACACATTTTACAAAGCAAGAGCAACCAAGTGGGTGCGATCCTGGATTAACACAGGTACATATGCCAATGGAACAGAGGGGAATGCCCTGACAGAAACCCTGATGAAGCCTCACCTGCATCAAACAGGAGCCTTCTCTGTGGGAGAGGATACAATCCACAGGGGCAAATACAACTTCCTGAAATGATGTTAAAAGTGATCTCCAAATTTCAAACATTCCTGTGGATTTCCTCCTTAAAACTGACAATGGAATGAAACACTCTCCGGCAGTGATGTCTGCTTGTCCACATTCCTCTCCATTCCCAATGGTGAAGTTTGGAAGTCAGTGACTCACACATTTAGCTTCAAATCTATAATAAAAGGGTAATATGCTAATTAGACCAGACATCCTTCCGCACAAAGCCAGGGCTGTGAGGAAAGCAGGAGTCTGGCTGTCTGCCAGCAGAGGGCAGAAAGCCCAGGTCCCAGGTGCCAGAGGGAAGATGGTACTGGTAGCCGGGGAAAGGAAGGCCTACTCCTGCACGAATTGGTACATCAGGCCTCTAGTCCTATCTAGTAATAGACAAACATGGTAAATAACCGTACCTCCGACATGCTTCCCATTGGCTAATTACGGCGATATGCAAATTAACTGCCAACCAAGATGGCGGCCAGCAGCCAGGCAGCTGAAGTGAACAGGAGGCTTGCTTACTCCAGTGATGGAGGAAGCCAAGATTCCCCGCCTGTAGTGTAGCTCCGGTCACTTAAATGTCACAACCACAAATTGACATGCCTTCAAAAAACTTTCAGCTGAACAAATTGGCACAGAAAAGGAAGTTACTTTGATGACATCACTCACAAAACTGGAGAACTAGTTTGATTTATTCAATAGTATTATTCTCTAGTAGAAGAAAATAGTACGCCTTACAATGTATCCAATATTCCATGGGAAAGTGTAAACAAGTAAAGTCCATATAATATACAAGAGCCCACAGATCTCTAAGGCAAAAACAATCAGGCCCATGATTTCATGCATACACCAGGAATAAAAGATAACATCATCAAGTGATATGGGAGTAGAATCACATTAATACTTCCTTTTCAAAATATTTCAAATGATTTCAATATAAGTGAGATAACACTATAAGTAATTGTACATAAGGAAACATCAATTCTTTTGATATATTCAAACATACAAAACATTACCTAACTACATTTAAAGTTTCAAGTACACTGTATAATAAACATTCTGATTTAGAACCATACCTGAAAGGTATTTGGCTACCTATCTAGTGTGAATTCAGTGATAATTTGAAATTCATAATCAATACATACTGGGATAAAGATTTTACATCTTTAAAGTCACTTTAAGGCATAAATTCCTTGGAGTTTTTTTTAAAAATATATTTTTATTGATTTTTTACAGAGAGGAAAGGAGAGGGATAGAGAGTTAGAAACATTGATGAGAAAGAAACATCGATCAGCTGCCTCCTGCACACCCCCCACCGGGGATATGCCTGGAACCAAGGTACATGCCCTTGACTGGAATCGAACCTGGGACCCTTCAGTCCGCAGGCCGACGCTCTATCCACTGAGCCAAACCGGTTAGGGCTTCCTTGGAGTTTTATAAACTATATTTTGAACAAAAGTCCTTCCTTCGACTGCCGCTGGAACGTGAGTCTCGGCTTCTCTTCTCGCCTTTCTCCCTGGACAACATGAGCTTCAGCACCCGCTCCAGCTTCTCCTCCAACTACCGGACCCTGGGCTCCGTGCAGGCGCCCAGCTACCAGGTCCGGCCGACCAGCATCGCGGCCAGCGTCTATGCAGGTGCGGGGGGCTCAGGTTCCCGGATCTCCGTGTCCCACTCCACCAGTGTGCGGAGTGGCTGGGGAGCTGGGAGCCTGGCTGCGGGAATGGCCGGGGGTCTGGCAGGCATAGGAGGCATCCAGAGCGAGAAGGAGACGATGCAATGACTGAATGACCGCCTGGTCTCCTACCTGGAGAGGGTGAGAAGCCTGGAGGCTGATAATCGGAGACTGGAGATCAAAATTCGAGAACACCTGGAGAAGAAGGGGCCCCAGGTCAGAGACTGGGGGCATTATTTCAAGACCATCGAGGACCTGAGGGGTCAGATCTTTGCAAGTTCTGTAGACAATGCCCGCATGGTTCTACAGATTGACAATGCCCGTCTTGCTGCTGATGACTTCAGAGTCAAGTATGAGACGGAGCTAGCCATGCGCCAGTCTGTGGAGAGTGACATCAATGGGCTCCGAAAGGTCACTGATGACACCAATATCACTCGGCTGCAGCTGGAGACAGAGATCGAGACGCTCAAGGAGGAGCTGATCTTCATGAAGAAGAACCACGAGGAGGAAGTAAATGGTCTACAAAACCAGATTGCCAACTCTGGCTTGACTGTGGAGTTGGATGCCCCCAAATGTCAGGACCTCAGCAAGATCATGGCAGACATCCGGGCCCGGTATGACGAGCTGGCTCGGAAGAACAGAGAGGAGCTAGACAGGTACTGGTCCCAACAGATTGAAGAGAGCACTACAGTAGTCACCTCGCAGTCCGCTGAGGTACGAGATGCTGAGACGGCGCTCACAGAGCTGAGACACGGTCCAGTCCTTGGAGATCGACCTGGTATCCATGAAAAATCTGAGGGCCAGCTTGGAGAACAGCCTGTGGGAGGTGGAGACGCGCTATGCCATGCAGATGGAGCAGCTCAACAGGATCCTACTGCACCTGGAGTCTGAGCTGACCCAGGCCGGGGCTGAGGGGCAGCGCCAGACACAGGAGTATGAGACCCTGCTGAACATCAGGGTCAAGCTGGAGTCTGCTGGAAGAGGGAGAGGACTTCAGCCTTAGTGATGCCCTGGACAGCAGCCTCTCGATGCAATCCATTCAAAAGACCACCACTCACAGAATTGTGGACGGCAAAGTAGTGCCTGAGGTCAACGACACCAAAGTTCTAAGACGTTAACTTAACGATTAAAGGCAGCAGAAGTGGGGTGCCCCTTGGGGAGGGGCAGGAGGCCAATAAAAATCCAGAGATAAAAAAAAAAGTCCTTCCTTCTATATCATGAATGTAGAATTTCTACCCAATTGGAATCCCATACATTGACTGAGGCTATAGGTCAGTGATGGCGAACCTTTTGAGGTTGGCGTGTCAGCATTTTGAAAAACCCTAACTTAACTCTGGTGCCGTGTCACATATAGAA